TTAATATGTATCAAAAATTTCAATTTTTTAAAAAATGTCTCAGAACCCCATTTTCCTAGCAAACTTCCCATATATCCAGCATAATCATTTATTCGTATAGTTTTAAGGCCTTTACGTTCTATAGCTACTTTTATTTCTGTTATAAGAAATTTGAGATGTCCATTAAACCTGTGCTATTCTCCAGTAAACATTCCTGTCTCATTTATGATAATTAGTTTTTGAGCTTGAATAACGCTATTAAAGCGTCCAAGAATTTTACTCAAATCTGATGTTACAAAATGAAGATGCGGACCTAGAACTTTATCCCTATTAAAATCTGTAATAATATTTTTTCCGCATTGCTGAAGCATAGATTTTAAGACCAGAATTGAGTGAGGTTTCTTTTCTGGCTTTTGCACTAAATATGCCTACCAATTTCAAAGATATTCATGAAGCTTCACATTTTCATCACTGATTATATTCTTTGTATGCTAGAGAATGAGATCCATAATTTCAGAATTAATCTCATTCATCAGTTTGGCAAGAAATTCTAGGAAAAGATTAAAGTACTCAGTAGTTGGACATGAATATTTCAAGGAATATGGAAGAAAGTTAACATCATTATAAAGTCTTATACCTTTGGTAACTGCTTGACTTATCAATGATTTTAACTTTATCGATTTCCCTTCATATTCAATTATATTGATCCCAAACTTGGCAAGATCTAGTTTAGGTGTCATATTAAAATAAAGTCTATTTTCTGGATCTTTGAGCTTGAGTATCCAGATCTGTGAAGTTTTCTGAATACAAGCAACTAAAGTTTGAATCGCTTCATAAACTTTAGCATGAGAGAATTTTTTACCTAAAGTATACATACGCAGTAGGTCACCCTATACAAAATGATCATTAGGATCTGATATTCTAGATCAGTCTATTTTTACTGGACTTGAAAGCTTTTGTTCTCGATCTAAAGCAGTTTCGCTTTATTGAGGGATTTATTGTTCCAGGATTTTGTTCAAGATTTGCACGGTAACATTTAAAGCTATATGATTTTTTATTTTATATAATATATGCATTGAAGCCAAATCAGCCAGCTTTTTCTGGTGGTATTGTTCCCTTTTACAGTGCTTTCTAGCATGAATATCACAAAATCCATATTCACCATAAGTTAATTTATTGCATTCATATTCATTGTAAGGTATCTGAGAAGGAGAATTACGATGAATATAACATCCTTTTGGATGGTAGCATCCCCAATTGCAAATCTCACCACTCCTGTGAATATAAGTACATCGATAAAATACCATTTTTAATAACTATAAATGGTTGGTTTATGTATCTGTTTATATATTTTGGAATTAATTTTCATTTTAAACTTTTTTCTTCTGGAATATATACTTTCTCTCGAACTATATATTTGTGGTATAATATCATGACCTAATCAGAGTTTCTTGATACCTCTGCCCCATATAAACAAGGTTTTAAAGCTGAAGATATCAGTGAATGATTATATAAAATTTGTGATGATAGTGTAAACCAAGACATTTCCTTGACGCAGACAACGTGGATGAAATAGAAGCCATACTTTCAGATCATAAAAGCTATTCCTTACATGAATATATTGATGGTGATGAGCTACTCTGGCCTATTATAGATTTTGATTTGCCAGTAGAAACATTAGATGCTATTACCCCCAAGCTATCAGACAAACAGGTGAAAAATTTATTATGTTGTGCTTTTAGAGATACTTGTCTAGAAATTTTCCCGAAATGGGATAAAGAAACTATTTCTATTGCTGAAAGTAGTGATGAGAAAAAAATATCTTTACATGTCTTAACTTTCGGTATGAGACTTCCAAATATCGCTAAAGTTTCAGTTTTCACTGAACTTGTTTGTAAAAAACTTTCAGTAGGATTGCAGAAAAAAGGTATTATCGATAACATAGCAAATAGAGGTCCTTCTAAATCTTTCTCTTTACAAATGATTTGGTCACCCAAATACGATGAAAAAACAGATGAACATGTTCGTGTGAAAAAACCTATTCGTCCAAAAGATGGAACTATTTTTGAATTCATGATTTATCCGCCCAATGATGATTCTGAAGTCATTGATGGTCCTCTATTGGCCATTTCAGAGCCAGAAGTTAAAAGATGTCTGACTGAAGAAAATGAAAATAA